CAGGAGTTAGTAAAAGGTATCATTCCTCCCACTACTTCTACATGATAAGCAAACTTTTCCATTCCTCCTCCCAAAGTCTTTTCATGCTGTATCTCCTCGGGGTTGATAATTCGGTAAACCACCGACTTTTCATCGTGGATAGTGGCCTTAACATTGTTTCCTAATTTCTTGGGAATAACGGCTTTAAAAATCTTATGGGGATTTAATTCACTATCTCTCACTACATCACATAAGAAGTAGATTTCCAGGTCATCTAAAAAGTCAGGGTCAATGGTTAAAACTTTACTTCTTCTCGTTTCACAGTTAGTTTCCACTTCATTTCAATCGGTAGAGCCTGGTCTTTGATAACCTTTATTATATTTGGTGCTAATTTCATCCATGCCGTTATAGGCTGCTTTGATTAATTTTAAAATGGCAATGGCTTTATCTAAACTGTCGATTTTGGCAGCATCAGCCTCGATTTCTTGTCAAGCATTATCATTATAATTATCCTTATCACTAATAATCTCAACTATCTTTTTGTTTAAAGTAGTGATAGCCTTGGTTTTCATGCTATCGATTAAACGGTCAATTAATAGAGCCTGATGTTGAGGGCCTTGGAGGGCTTGTTTCATCTTTTTGCTGTTGTAGATAGTATAAAACACTTCATCCATGATTATTCCTAACTTGCAGGAGAAAACGGCTGGCAACTTTTTAAAGTCTTTGCTTTCTAAGTCTTTATTTCACTTGACTCTTTCGAGGGGTTGGTCGGTAATAAATTCATCTTCGGAGCCATAGAACTCGGAGGCTCCTTTGTCAAAAATGGCAAAGTCATTGTCAGCATAAATGGATTTGATGGGTAGTTCTTGGACTACTCGATTTTGTAAATTTTCTAAAATTGGATTGGGAGTTGGCATATTTATTCGTTAATATTTAGTTGGATACCTTTTTTGGCTTGTAATTTGGCTAGTTCGGTTAAGAAGTCAGTTTGCTCTTTATGTTGTTTAGTTTCTTGTTGGACTTTACGGGAGGCATGGGCTTCTCGTTTTCAATCATCTTTTTCGGTGGCTAATCGTTCGTTAGCCTTTTTGAGTTCTAAAATGGTGTCATCTTTTTTGATAGCAGCATTTTTTCAATCTTCAATGGCTTGTTTATGTTGTTCGATTTCTTCCTCGTATTTGGAGACTAATTTATTATGGTCTTCACTATTTTTAAGAGGAGTAATTTTTTCTGGTTGGTCTTGGTTCATGTTGGGTATATGAAGTGTTTTA